AAAAAAAAAAAAAAAAAAACTAGGTTGTGAGTGCGGTGGCTGGGCAACTAGCACGGAGCAACTCTTTGTGTGATCCACAGATTGTTGTTCCGTGTCTGTGTGTCATGTGTATGTCAACTTGTATGTTTGTAAACGCACTCACGACACAGGAGACAATCCTAGAGTCAGTAGGGGAAACCTCTAAAAAAAACAGTTAAGTTTCACAAAAATATTAAAAAAAAATCCAAGTCAGATAGTTTTTAAATTAAAATGTTTTAGAGAACAGAGTGAGGGAACAGAGCTCCCTAAGATCAGAAAAGGAGGATACTCCGACCAGGCGAGATGATCGTGCCTGGTTGTTTGTTGGGATTTTCTATCTGTGTTAAATCGAATGTAAACTGAGCATGTGCGATGTTGGATTTTGTGACGTCATCCGTTGATTTGTACCTAACATGTATCGCCACAATGTTATCCACGAAAATATACACCCTCTGCCAGTCGTCTTAATTTTTGCTTACGTTATCCTGAATAGTGCTTCAGTATTATGAAATCATAAATTCTGAACCGACTGCTTTAAACAATGCTTGTATTGTGTTTCGTCGTGTGAGTCAAGCCAAGTCTCCCCAATCCCCAAATCCCCCAGAATCCTTAAATTCCCAATCCCCAAAAGTTCGGGAACGCAGCTGTAACGCCTCTAGTGTTCCAGGTGTCCATGAGCAGCGCCGATTGCTAACAATCAGGTGATCTGGTTCCTCATTTAAAAAATAGGGTCACCCCTTATTACATGGGACTCGTAACATAAATAGTGAAAAGTAGGTGTTACGTTATTAAGTGCCGTAATGTGCATCTCTGCTTACCCCTTCGGGGGTAAAAAGCGAGATGCTATGTAAGTATGTATGTATGTATGTATGATGTATGTTAAGAGGTGGTTTAGGAGTGACAATGAGACCAATATTTTTTTAAGGGGAGGAAAATCATCGAATGACTGCTCAATACTCAATACTCAATACGTTTATTGCACTCCATATGTTTAAAAGGTGTTACATAATAATATAGTACAGTATGGACCCTGTAGGGCACGGCAACGTAGAAGAGAGGAGGACGCTAATTTTATTTAGATTATGTATCGCAGATTTTTTATTACTAGTTATAAGTAGTTGTTTTGTTCAATTTATTTTGTAATGCTAGCTGCTCCCGCCTGGGTGAGGCGGGAGGGAGTGTCAGACTCTTACTGACTAAAAACCACCCCGTTCCTTCTCCTGCACGTCGAGCCGGAGCCCCGGTTACCCGTTAGGTTCTACGCGACAGACCAATAAAATTCAGATTTAATACTTACTACATATGCACTTTCAGTCCGTTGCTATTCACAAATTGGTTCCCACATATACTGCATGAAGGTTTCTTTTTATGTTTGTCCAAATGATACCGATATGCGCGGCGGGTACTGTAATAAAAAATATTCATATTCATTTCATCATCAACAGCCTATAAATGCCCACTGCTGAGCAAAGCCTCTTCTCACACGGAGAAGGTTAGAGCATTAATCACCACGCTTGCTCAATGCGGGTTGGCGATTTCAAACTTATAATTAGAAATTATAAGTTCAGGTTTCCTCACGATGTTTTTCCTTCACCGTTTGTCAGTGGTGTCTAAATAATCTTAGAAAGTACATATAACTCGGAAAAAGTCACATTGGTACTTGCCGTTGGTAGGTTTCGAGCCCGCACCCTCATGCATGAGAAGTGGGCGTCTTAAACCTCCGGGCCACCACGACATATTCATTTATTCAGGTACAATCATTACACATCTTCAGTGTGCAGTCACTGTCTAGCTAAAGCTGTGTCCATACATGACTCTGTGTGGTCAAAAGTTTTAAGATATACATAACATCACGCCTTTTATCCCGAAGGGGTAGGCAGAGGTGCACATTATGCCACTGTACAATGTAACACCCACTTTTCACTATTTATGTTACTAGTCCCATGTAATAGGGGGTGAGTTTTAAGATATTATGATCTTATATCGTGGTAGACCTCGTGTTTATGACGCCCGCTTCTCATGCATGAGGGCGCGGCTTCGGAACCTACCAACGGCAAGTACCAAAGTGACATTTTCCGAGTTATATGTACTTTCTAAGATTATCTAGACACCACTGACAAACGGGAGGAAGGAAATCATCGTGAGGAAACCTGGACTTATAATTTCTACTTACATACATACATTCATAACATCACGCTTTTTATTCCCGAAGGGGTAGGCAGAGGTGCACGTTACGGCACTTAATGCCACTGTACAAT